TTTAGGTCATTAATGGAACCTAACATAAAGCTTCCATTCTTATCATCTCTTTTAATTTCCTTTGGTAAAAGAGATTCTCAACTAAGATTCTCAATTACAGGTGACCTTTAAACTGATGCAACCCTTTTACTAGTTAAAACAGGTGCTTAACGATAATAAGTGATAATAAATCAAGTTATTTTACTCGTCCATAGCGTGCAACTACTTTATAGGGAAGGAGAGTAATGTAATATTATGTGGTAGTAGTTGAAACAAAGATTCTCTAAGTGCATCACCAATTCATCATAGCTCATTGGAGCAACTTTGGAAAATATTTAACGATACATTTGAATTATTTTATGATGATTTCTCTAACATGCACATCACCAAATGTCTCTGGTTTAAAGACCCATTGGCGAATCTCGTCTATGACTTTTCTTTTTTTAGGGGAAAAAAATCATTCACGCCTTTTGAAAGAGGCACTACATCAAGTTACCCAACATTTGGTGATCCACAATCACAATTCAAAATTCTATTTAGTTTTGTGATTTAGAGCCTATGTATTGTGGTTCTTGAGACAAACAGAAAAGAGGCAACAACCAATATGGGTTAAGCACATCTTACATGACAAACCAAGATTCTTTTATTATTATTATTGGGTTGCCTGGAGTATCCCCCTACCTGAATAGTAAGAGACTAATTTCTCGAGGTACTGTCAAGTGCCATAATGGGGACCCCTTCTAATAGTGTTTTTTTCCCACATACACAGTCTAAGGATCGAATCTAGAATATGATGTTTAAGGTGCTCAAGTCTCTTCCATTTGGATCAATACTTATTGGTGACAAACCAAGATTCAAATTCCTATTCACATTTAAAATTTGACAATGCCCCAAATATAATTGTTGAGCCAAAAAAAAAGAAAGAAAAGAGGGAAAAGGTTAATACACGAGCAAATTAAAGAAATTTTGAAGGGGAGAAAACTAACGGGTTTTGTCTTAGAAAGGCAATGTTAAGTTACTCCACTGGTAAAGTTGGAGGTCTAACTTGTAAACCTCAAAGACAAAGCATCCTTGTTTCATTGCAAAAGACTCAAATTATAGTAAATTTCAATATTTAAACTTGCCTACTCTACAAATGATTTATTAAACCTGATAACCATTGTCGGGGGGGACGAAAACTGGATAAAAGGCAAAAGACAAACATATTTTCTTTTCACAACAAGTGAATAACATGACTTGCTAAGTTGTTATAAAACATGCTCATCCGATCCTTAATATAAGACCTATTTAACTAATTTGATTAGATTAAGAAAATTAGGTAAGTTAGTTAATTATAACAAACATGACATGTTTTTCCTAAAATACCATAATCATCTTCCTTAATATCCTCTCTTCCTCTTCTACTTGATTATGGTTGAGGGAGTATTCATAAGAATAATTTAGAAAAAATTGAGAAATATGAGAAATAGGTCTTATATTTAAGACTAAAATCAACTCAACAATTATGTCCTATATGAAGGACCAGAGGAATATGTCATATGTTGATCTTTGAGATTATTGTAAACAAATTTTAAATAGGTTGTATAGAATAACGAAGATATGTATGATATGATACGTCAATGTCTCTGTTCTTCGGAACACCATATGGCAAACTGGAACAGAGCGACTAAAATGTTAGAGAGATGACACTTGTACAGTAAATCCGATAATCTATTTAAAATTAGAAACCCTTTCCAATCCTGTCATTCCATGAGATTTTGTTTGGTGACAACTGGGAAATAGAGAGTAGTGTCATTCTAGAAGATTAGCCATTGGCTTAGCGACATATGATCTTTTTCCGGGGAGATGCTTTATAGAGGTAAAATGTTAGAGTGCTTGACTGCCTTAAATGTCACAAACATACATAAGGAGAAGTGAGATCCAAGATTCCTACAAAAATAAAATTGTAACCAATTACAAGCATTTTAAAGGTGGGAAATAGAGTTGTACTTCAGTAAAAGCCACAAGCATTTAAATGCCATAGCCCTTGCTCATTAGCTTGCTCCCAAGAATTAAATGCTACCTGATCCACCCACTAACAGCTTCAATCTCAGCATCTTGTGCCGCATGTCACCTATCCGCGGTTTGTCTGGTTGAACCATAGAAGTAATGTTCATCTCCAAAGTAATTAATTGGGTCAATAATATACCCAACAGGTGCTTTTCCAAATGGTCGCAGCAACCTTTAGTGCAACATAAAGCATTTTGGGTTCACCAAAAAAAAAAAAAGAAAGGCATTTTGGATGACTAGAGAAATTTGAGGTAAATCCTTGAGAATATTGTAATTCCAGAGGTTTCTTGCATTGAACAAGCAAGCTCTGTTTGAGCAGACGCTTCAACCATGGCATGCTTCCGAATGTTCCATCTTGCCTCTGAACAACAATGTAATTCACTGCTCTTTAAAACCATTTTCTTTAACAGCTTGGCAGCCAACAATGCTGAAGGCTTCCTTTCTTCCATGATTGACCACAAACTAGCTACAGACGCCTTCTATCTCAATCTTCTTTATCTCCTTGTATGTACTAACGATATCATGTACAGGTAGAGTGCTGGCCAAGTGCACAAGGGAGTCTGAGAAGGGACATAGCTCATGAGAAGGAAAGAGAAGTGTACTAACTATAAATTAGTTTTGCACTGAGGAATATAATGGACAGTCCAGGAGAAGGAAACAGCAGGCCTGCGTCTAAGTTATTAAAGAAGGAAAAGCCAGTTTATAAGGCCATCAAAGCGCAATGACTACTTTAAAGTTGAAGAAGAGGTCACGTGTTGATAACAGAAGCTTGGCAATATTTGTTCTGAAATTACCAAACAGCCCATTAGCACATTCGTTCATGAAATTACCAAAACAACCCTCCCTCTACTGCTGACCGTTGATGTGAAGTTGTTGTCGACGATGACGATTCAGCCGTCATTCTACTTGGGAAGGGCGCAGCTTCTCTCCTTTGCCCGTTCTCTTCGCTGCCCTCCGCTGCCCCATCCCTCCTATTAAAATGTTACACCTGTACTTCAAGCCAAGAGAATTGTAATTTTTATTTTTCACCAATTATAAGTATTAGCTCAAAATAATTATACCTAATGTGAAGACCGATTATAAGGTACTTATAAAATCTAGTTTACAGTATAAAATATATTTTATATCTAGGACAGAATCCTTTATTTGAGATTAATTGCCACAAAATAAAAATATATTTTTCAACTATTATATACTACGTTACAATAAAATAGAAACATAAAAAAATGAAAAATATATTTTTAACTATTATATACTACGTCATAATAAAATAGAAAAATAAAAAATTATGAAAATTACAAAAATCTCAAATAAGGGATTCTCGCAAATATTTTGTATTTTGTGACAATTTTTATACCTGGTAATCATTATTTATATTAGATATAATTATATATTATCTTCTGTCCTAAATATAAAATCTATTTTATACTATAAACTAGATTTTACAAGTACCTTATAATCGGTCTTCACATTAGGTATAATTATTTTGAGCTAATACTTATAATTGGTGAAAAATAAAAATTAGCAATTCTCTTGGCTTGAAATACAGGTGTAACATTTTAATAGGAGGGATGGGGCAGCGGAGGGCAGCGGAGAGAACGGGCAAAGGAGAGAAGCTGCGCCCGGCTACTTGATCCATCACACGTGACACCATTATTACGATGTGTTTGACACTGTTGGGTCATTATTCTGTTAATATAAGTCGACATGGGGACTTTTACAATCACTACTAAAAGGATATTCAGTTGAAAAAGAAACTGGCATAAGTACACGCAGATATTCTGATAAACCATTATTACAAACTCTTATTTTGTCACTATTTCGCTAAATTTAAGATAAACAAAGAACATTAATTAGAAGGAAACACTGGAGCCCTTAGCCAAGTATAACCGCAGCAAAGCATCCTAGCTATTCCCTGAAGCAGAATATGAGACTCGAATTTGAGACAAAGGCATTGGAAAAGTAGTAGATACATAGATCAGATCTGTCTTCAAAGAGGCTGCACCCACCGCTTGATCTGCTGTAGTTGCGTCCCACAGACAAAGCATGTTGAACAATAAACATAAGAAAAAACCAGTAAAGACCTAAATTTGTTTAACCAAAAGAAGAAAAAAGAAGATAAACTTTCATGCCATAAAGGAGAGATACGACTTTTTTTTTTTGGGAAATACTACCTCCGGTCCTTAATATAAGACCCTGTTTGACTTTTTGTTTGGTCCTAATTATAAGACCCCAATCCATTTTGTCTCTCATATTTATGTATTTTTTTCCCAAGATAGTCCTTCTAATAATGATAGTTCTAACCAATATACTTAATTAGCAAGGATATTTTAGGAATAACAACACTTATTTATTACAAATAACTAACTTAACTTACTTCCTTAATCTCCTCAAATTAGTCAACTGGGTCTTATAATTAGGACCGGAGGTAGTATATGATAGCTAATCCATTTCCTCAATAGCAACTTAATTTGTTCCAACTATCCGACCGAAATGTTTAAGCATGAGGGCCATGTTGACATAAAGTTGATCAACCAAACTGTCAAATAATGGGAAAAATTTATGTCTCCATGCTCTAATGAGAAAGAGAGAACCACAAATTCCCCAAAAACCTGCTGCCAACCCAACTCCCATCCCAAGATACAATGACTTGAGAAAGATGTCATCTTCATTTTCTTCGGCCAGCTTTAAGTTGTGAACTTCTTCTTTCTTATTACACTTATTTGGAAGAGGGTCTCCACAAAGTTGAAGATTGCCAACAAAACACCAAAAATCAAAACTCCGAATTTGAGTCCCTAAAGGGATTTGTCCAGTGAAATTATAGTATAAGAGGTTCAAGTAAGCAAGAAAAGATATATTAGAGATGGCTGAAGGAATTTTTCCATGGCTGAGATCAAGAGATTCCAAGTTTTCATGCCTCTAATTTCTTTGGGAATCTTTCCACTCAAATGGTTTTGAGACAAGTTCAAGGATTACATTTGACTCATACTAAGTAGCTCCTTAGGAATTTCTCCAGACAAATTGTTAGAGGAAAGATCAATTATCCGCAAAAACAAAATGTCAGCATAATCTAATTCTATTCCTTTAGTATATATGTTTATAGTTTCTGCCCACAAAAGCCGATCAGTTGAATCCATAATGTTATATAAGCAATGAGGTATGGATCCAAAAGGATTATTATCACCAAGATCTAATATCATAAGAGAGGAGAGATTGCACAATTGTAATGGAATCTCACCAACAAATTGGTTGGCCCTCAACTTGAAAACTAGCAAACGCGGAGGCATTGTAGTTGGCAAACTTCCAGAAAATTCATTTCCCTCCAAAAGAAGGTATTGCAAATTTGTCCAATTTGATATGTCTAATGAAAATTCGCCAAAGAAATTGTTATCACGTAAATCCAATATCCAAGGATTCAATGAGGCCATGGAGGGAGGAACTTTACCCTCTAGCTCATTACCCCTCAAATTAAGGTATTCTAATCGTTTCCCATTGACCCAACAGTCAGGAATTGCTCCACTTAAATGATTATGTGATAAGTCCAAATAAGACAATATGCTTTCCTTGTCACTCTCTAGTTGGCACAATAATAAGAAAATAGAGCCTGACAAAGAATTGCGAGATACATCAAAGTGAGAGATAATTGTTGACAGTGTGATATTGGATATGTCATCACTGATCATGGTGTTTGACAAATCAACATAATCAATTCCTGTTGCAAACCTCCAAAACACATCAGCATCAATTATTGAGATCCCTAAGGTAGAAATGTCTAGATATTCTAGAGACTGTTGTGTATATAGCCATGTTTAGAAATGTCTAGATATTCTAGAGACTGTTGTGTATATAGCCATGTTAAGATATTAGGCCCTATATTTGTGGTACTCAAATTCAAATGCTGAAGTTGGAATGGTGGGACCCATTTAGGATCAAAGTCAAATTTGAAACCACTTGAACTCAGGTGTAACCATGTCAATTTTGAGAGTTTGGTAAACTTTTTTGAAATAACTCCCACCCAATGATTGCCACCAATGCCTAAAGATTCTAAATTATGGAGCTCTCCAAGGTTTTTGGGAAGATTTCCACTGAAATGATTATGGGACAAATCTAAGGAAATCAAGGAAGAAATATTTCCAAGACATGATGGAATAGAGCCGCTGAACAAATTACCATAGGTGTCAAAATACTGCATCTGTTCATGTTAGCAAAACCAATCAGGAATTGATCCTATGAGATTATTAAAGCTCAACCTTAAACTTTTAAGGTTTGGAAGCTTGAACAGGTTCTTCGGTACTTGACCATAGAAATCATTGTCAGAAAGCTCAAGATGAGATGGTTTTTGTGTAAAATCAAAGAGTGAATTATGTAATTCTGAGTTGAGCATGTTGTGAGAAAGATCAAAGTTACCAGTGATGTCAAATTGACATAGCTGAGGGATGAAAAATCTCTCAACTCATAACTGCCCAGATATAACTCAGAAAGCGAAGGTATCAAAGAGATATAATAGTGCCAATTGGTTTCATTTCCAACACTAGAGTAATAAGGTCTAAATATTTTAAAGAAGAAAGTTGAGAAATCCAATGAGGATCATTTATTCGCAAATGATAATTATGCGAAAAATCTAGGTGAAGCAGAGGAGAAGATTTGGAGACTGGCGTTGAGGAATACTCACAAATTCAAATCGATTATGGCTCAGATCCAAGTTGATGAGAAGTTCAAGTTGAAGAAGGGATAGATTAATCCCACCTTGTAAGCCATGGCGAGCCAGATCAAGCTCTGCAACTCTGCCATTGATATCACACAGAACTCCAGACCACAAACAACAATCTTCAGGACTAGTCCATGAAGAGAGTTTGTTTAAAGGATCCACCACTCCTTGTTGGAAGATCCAGAGTGGTCCTCGATCATTCTCGTTGCAACGAATCGCATTGTTTGTTTTACATATGCCTGTTGCAAGCAAAAGAAACAAGAAAACAATTGAAGTTTTTGAAGTGAAGCAGACCATCATGGTTGACTTGAGCAGAATGAACACAACCTAGTCTTTATGTATATATATATATATATATATATATATATATATATATAGGGAGCAAATTGAACAATTAGTTTTTTTAAAGTTTATAACAGGTTAAAAACTAAATAATCAACTAAAAAGCCATTCCTTTTTTTGAGCTTGCAAACACCATCTTAAAATCTCCACTTACCCCTAAATTTAGACATGTTGAATTGTAAATCATAAAATTTTAGTTGTAAATTTGCACTAAGAACCAGTTGTAAATATAATCCCATAAAAACCGCATTTTCCTCTTATATTTACAGTCGGTGCTCATCAGATTGTGTAGGCAATAAGGCTGACCAATTCAACGGTAATTGCAAATTTTTTGTTTTCAGGGAGAGATTAGGCAAGGAAAATAAAATTTTTTATTTTATATTGATATTGATGTCCCTTACAATCAATCATAGAAGTGTAATATAGGAAATGTTAATAATGTAATTGGTTTTACCGATTTTCCCTTTCAAGAGGAGATTAGGCAGGGAATACTATATCTCAAGTTTTGTTTTTATTTTTCAATTTGACCAGTTAATAGCTACGTCTACTTGTTAACAACAAAATTAATTAATTTTACCCAAAAAAAAAAAAAAAACTATTACGCTACATTGTTTTGTAGTGGGACCGATTATAGTTTTTATGTTTTATACTGAGATTAATGCCGTGCCGGCTCCTAATCATGTTGCCTCAGTAACGTAATTGGAGGAATCAATCAACAATTTTACTAATAATTTTTTTGCCGGACAGTTTTACTAATGATATCCCATATAATCTTTAGGAACAATGACAAGGAAAAAAAGTTGAAAATTTGTAAATGCCAAATAAGCAATGTTAACAAAAATTTGTTGTCATTTGCAAATTTAGAATTGTCAATACTAAATAAAGTTGTGTTACTAAACCTGATTTAGAATTTGTAATTTCTAACTTCTTTTTCTGTCATTCATACTAATCTTTATTTTACATATTAATTTTGTTGGGTCCTGTTTCCACCTATAGCAGCATTTTTGGAAAAAAAACAATACATAACAATCCAAATAGACGTCACACTTACACCAAAAAAAAAGGCGTGACGAGTTGAAATATGAGGAGGCCATATTCTTTAGGCTTCATATGAATAAAAATTTTTTTATTCATATATCTAGACTTACTTACAATACTAAATATAAAGCCTTGGAAAATATTTCATAGAATAAAATCACTAGCTTTTTGTAGAAATTTTGACAAAATCATCCTTAAAAATTGGATTTCTCAAAAATTCCACAAATCAAAATGGAGAAGGGATAAGTCAAAAACTAATTAATACAGGAGTTCAAGTGTAATTAAGGGATCTCTCAAACCCTATTATTTGTTAATGACTCTGTTATTTCGTACAGGATAATTCAAAATGAAACAGAGCATCTCAACTATGTGGAACAGAGCAATCACATGAAACACTATTTATCAAAAGTTTCTTAACAATACGAGACACACATACTACACGCACTAACCACTATTATTATAACATATTCTCTTCCCGAAATTCACTAAATTTAAGATAACAAAAGGGCATTCAATAGGCAACATCTGAATCCTTGACCACGCGTAACAGCACTCCTCAGCTTATTCCTTGAAGCAAACTCAATATTTGAAGGAGAGGAATGATCAGAGTAGTGATAGCTGTTTCACTTGCATCCCATATTGAAAAATAAACAAGATAGAACGTAGTCAGCTAAGAATAGAATGTTTTAGCAAGTAGAAGAAGATGTAATGGAAAAAAGAAAATGAAACCTCATTAAAATAATAACATTACTTAAAAAATTAGGGCAGCTAATTTATTACCTCGAGGAAAATTTGTTATTGATATTCAACCAAAGCTTTTGAAACAGAGGGCCAAGGCAACATAAAGTTGATCTGTCAAGTGACCAAACCATTGGAAAAATTTGTGTCTCCATGCTCTGATGAGGAAGAGAGAACCACAAACTCCCCAAAAGCCCACTGCAAATCCAACCCCCATGCCAAGATACAATGACTTTAGAAAGCTGTCATCTTCATCTTCTTCAGCTAGCTTTGAGCCATGAGTTTCTTCCTTTTTGTTACACTTCTTTGGAAGAGGATCTCCACAAAGTTCGGGATTGCCAAGAAAACTCCAAGAATCAAAACTTTGAATTTGGGTTCCGGATGGAATTTGCCCGGTGAAATTGTTGTATGAGAGGTTCAAATAAGCAAGAAATGACAAATTAGAGATGGTTGAAGGAATTTCTCCGAGAAGTTTATTGTAGCTGAGATCAAGAGATTCTAAGCTTTTCATGCCTCCAATTTCTTTGGGAATTTTTCCAGTCAAATAGTTTCGAGACAAGTTCAAGGATAATATTTTACTCATACTAACCAAGTTCTTCAGGAATTTCTCCAACAAGCTATTAGCAGAAAGATCAATAATGCCACGTCCAAAACTTAGAAAACTATCAACTTGATAGGCTAATTTACTTCCTTTAGTAAATATGTGCACTATTGCAATAGACTGATCTATGATATAAGGTAGATGTTTGGCCCAAAAAGGAAGATCAGGTAGATGTTCGATGATGCGTAGGCAGTGAGGTATAGATCCAGAAAGCTTATTTTCAGCAAGATCGATTATGTTCAAATAAGAAAGTTCGCACAAGATTGTTGGAATATTGCCAGTAAATTGATTGGTCCTCAATTTAATAATTCCCAAATTCTCCGCCATTGGAATTGGCAAACTTCCAGAAAACTTATTTCGGTCTAAAAGCAAGTATTCCAAATTTGTCCAATTTAGCTTGTCTAATGAAAATTTTCCAAAGAAACCATTGTCACTCAAATCCAACTTATAAAGATTCAATGAAGTCAATGAGGCAGGGACTTTACCTGTTAGCTTGTTACTCCCCAAATTAAGGTATTTTAATTTTTTCCAATTTTTCCAACAATCAGGAAGTGTTCCACTCAAATTATTATGTGATAAATCCAACACCTCCAAGTTGGTTCCTTTTTCACTCTCTTGATGGCACAATAATGAGAAGATAGATCCTGACAAAGAGTTGTGAGATGCATCAAAGTAGGACATATTTGCTGATATAATGACATTGGATATATTATCACCACCAATCAAGTTGTTTGAAATATCAACTCTACCAATTCTTGATATAAAGCTCCAAAATACATCTGCATCAATGTTTGAAATTCCTAATGCTGAAATATTCAAATCACTTAAAGACCTTTGTGTATATAGCCATGGTGAAACATTATGACCTATGCTCGTGTTACCCAAATACAATGCCTTGAGTTGAAACGGTGGGACCCATTTAGGATCAATGTCAAATTCAAAACTTGTTGAACTTAAGTCCAGTGATATTAAATTTGAGAGATTAGCAAAATTCTTTTCAGTAAGAGCACCCACCAAGGAATTGTGTCCAACATGTAATAGATTTAAGTTACGGAGTTGTCCAAGGGTTTCTGAAAGGTTGCCACTCAATTGGTTGCAGGACAAGTCTAAGTAGAACAAGGAAGAAATGTTTCCAAGAAATGATGGAATTACGCCATCAAACAAATTACCTCTGATATCCAAGTATTGCAACTGTTCATATTGGCCTAACCAATCTGAAATCAATCCTTCAAGATTATTAAAACTAAAATCTAAATACTTGAGGTTCTGAAGATTGAGCAAGGACTTTGGTAATTGGCCATGGAAATTGCAAAAACCAAGGTCAAGATGATGGATTTGATGGGTGATATTAAAAAATGAATCAGGTAACTTTGACTTCACCATATAATAATTATAAGAAAGATCAAGAACTTCAAGTGAGGTAAGATTGATATAATCAAGGGATGGAAAATCTCTAAGTCTACACCCACTTAAGTGTAACTTAAAGAGTGAAGGAAGCATGGCTATATGCTCGAGCCATTTGGTTTCACTTCCAATATCACTGTCAGTAAGGTCCAGATATTTTAAGGAAGAAAGTTGAGAAAGCCAATGAAGGTCATTTATGGCTAAAATATATTATGTGAAAAGTTCAGATAACGCAGAGCAATAGAGAAACTTGCAGAGTGATTGGAAGGAGTAGCAAGTGATTGATTGTGAAATTTGTAAGCATCAAAGGGAGATTTGGAGATTTGGCATGGTGGCATACTCACAGTTTCAAAGTCATTGTCGCTCAAGTCCAAATAATTTAGGAATTCAAGTTGAAGCACACACAGACTAATCTCACCTCTAATGAATGATTGAAGAGAGAAAGCTCTGTGACTCTTCCGGTGAGGTGGTCGCAGTGAACCCCCTCCCATAAACAGCAATCTTCTTCAATAGTCCAAGAAGAGAGTTTGTTGCCTGGATCAACCACTCCTTGTTTGAAGATTAAAAGCAACCTTTGATCATTTTCATTGCAACTCATCACCCTGTTTAATGTTGTTGCAAATAACAGAAACAACAAAAGAAGGGAAATCTGTGAAGCGAAGCTAGCCATTGTGGTAAGTGAGTTTGAATATGATGGCCTCAATGAAGTCTTTACATTATATATATGTATGTATGTATGTATGTATGTATGTATGTATGTATGTATGTATGTAGACACACACATATATTGGAAAATCTAAAGTAAACAAAAACTTAAATGCCTTAAAAAATTGATAACAGCGTGATATTTCTTGTTGTCAAGTCTAATAATATTTCTAAGTCTTCCCGTCTTTTCAATAGAAAATCGCATCATGAATAAGAAAACACCACAGATATAATACATTAATATCATATATATTTAGATCCTTTTAAAGCCAGCGGGTTTTAGAAAAAAACTGGAGACAATTATGTGTAAAAATATTGAAGGCTAATAGCTCAGTGATTTTATTTTATTTTTAAAATGTTTGAAAACAAAACAAATCCTATATGGGCTCCATGAATGGCATGGAGCTTAAAGAATAATCACCACTATTTTATGACTTATAAATAAAATAACTTATGGCAAATTTTATATTTTATATTGTTATCAATTATAAAACGAGTCCACAAACACGCACTCACGTAGTGAACTCAAAGTGAATTAATTTTATTTATTTTTGTTTTAGTCCAGAAGTGAATAAATTAATTCAGATAATCGAAATTCTAATAAATATTTTGCTCTGAAGTTTGATTTTCTTGGATCAGAAATTGGACAAAATTTTAGTATGACCCGAAAATAATAAATCGTTTCTTATAAAATTTAATATAACCCAAAAAAAAAAATCACAATAATTCCGTTCGGACTCCAACTTTTCCTTTTTATTCTTTTTAGCTTTTTTTTTTGCCGTAATTCTATTTAGCTTATTTATTTATTGCTTGCTGATTACTCATTTCCTTCCTATTCACATGCCTTCCAAATACACGACATGCATATTCATAACAAAACTAAGTACCTGAGCTAAAATTTAATATACATTCGGGCTTTAATAGGTTCTAAGAAAAATTGATCCTATATACAAAATATTTAATTGGCGTCTAGATTTTACTTCTTCGTTTCTAAATATAATATCCACTTTATAGTCTAATTTACACTAAAAAGTAGGTCTTATATTTAGCATCGGAGTAGTGTCATTTATGTTTTCTTGAACTGCGTTTAATTTGAATACATTATATATATTTAATGTAGGTTGGAAGAAAAAATTACCGTAGAAAGTTTGCATTAATTCATTATCGTTACTCCAAACACACCACAAAATCAGAGCTCTAAAATTCAAATTACATTGTACGTTGAAATAACAAAGCAAATGAAATTTTCAAAATAAACCTGTCATCATGATTTATTCGAGTAGAATTAATCAATTAAGTTTTTATTTATATTACATGGTCACGATGTGCATATATAAGTTGTGAAAAATGAAAATCATTACTAATAAATTGTTTATAAGAAAATATTGAAAAAATAAAAAATGGATAAAAAACCTATAACCATTTTTTTTAATGGTCAAGTCTTCTAATTCTCCCAAGTCTTTCCATCTTTTCAAGAAAAAATTAGAATATTAATGCATTCATTTTCATATCATTTTCTATTCGTATCCTCTTTTTTTATTTCCACAACCAAATTGTTTGAACGCTTCAAAAGATAAAAGTCACTTAAGCAACAAATTAAAGTTTTTTCCCAATTCAATTAGAGGATTTCTGCGAATACAACTTTTAGCTTTGAAAATAAGAAAAATATCGTAGGAATTATTATTTAGACCTTTTATTTTCAGTTCATATTATCATCGACAACAACATCAATGACATGTGGTGCCATGGAGAAACTGTAAACAAATAAGGTCTTATAATTAGGATTGGATGTAGTATATAAATCTTGAGACAAAAATTTTAGATGTTTTTAGTACTTTAGTTTTTTCAAATTAGTTAACTAGGTTTTATTAATGCCCTTTCTAGAATGCTTATAAAGTCTTCGTCCCAAATTATACTCAATTTCAGTCATTAATGAAACCCATCAAGAAGTAGCTTCCGTTGTTATCATCCCTTTGGATTTCCTTCGGTGGAAGAGATTTTGCCAATTTTTCCAAAAATCATTTTCTACCAAAATTGCATTAACTAGTCCAAGAGCAATTACCCATGTTGCAATATGTTTTTTTCAAGTCTTTAATCCTTTCCCAAGAAACTTCACAATTCTCAATTGTGGAATTTATTGGGACCCATACTAACTTGGATCATGCCAAAGAAGATTTAACATACTGAAGTCACTGCCCCTTCATGACGCTTGTAAAGTCTTTGTCCCAAACTATGCTCCATTTCGATCTTTCTACTTATTAATGGAACCCATCACAAGGCTTCCATTCTTATCATCTCTTTCAATTCCTTTGGTAAAAGAGATTCTCACCTCTAGTTAAATTGGTACTGGTACAACTTACCAGTTAAAACAGATGCTCAATGATAATAACGGAAATCAAAAGGAAGGGGAGTAATGTAATATACTGTGGCTGTAATTGAAACAACAAATTCTCTAAGTCCATCGCCAATTCATCATAGCTCATTCGAGCAACTTTGGAAAATATTTTATGTATCGTGATGAACGACACATTTTAATTATTTTATGATGATTTTTCTATCCCCATTGACGAAATTTGTCTGGGATATTTTTTTTTCAGAGAAAAAAAGTCATTCATACCCTTTGAAAGAGGCACTAAATCAAAATTCTGCACAATTTATTCTTTTTTGGCCAAATGCACAATTCAAAATTCTACTCTGTTGCGTGATTTTCTCTTCTGGGATTATGTGCTTTTTTTTTTTGACAATTGTGGTGTAAGTTTCAGTGTGATGACTTCCATGAAGTCTTTTCGTTATATAAATGGCATAAAAAATGGATAACCGCGTGATATTTCTTATTGTCAATTCTACTAATAATGTTTCCAAGTCGTCCCGTCTTTACAATAGAAAATCGTGTCATGAATTGAATGCATGCAATTCTTACCGTTTTCAATTTCCAAAAGCAAATTGAGTTACTGGGTATTTTTAACTACATCTTTTTTCCCCCAACATCATGAATAAGAAAATACCACAGATATAATCTATTATATATTTATATCCTTTTAAAGTTAGTAGATGTTTGGTAAAAACTGGGGACAATTATGTATAAAATAAAAATAGAGGGTCAATACTCGGTGATTTTTTTTTTTTTAATGTTTGCAAACAAAACGAATCCTCTCTGGGCTCCATGAATGGCATGGTGCTTAAAGAATAATCAACACTAGTTTATGACACAAATAAAATAACTTATTATAAATTTTATATTTTATATGATCAATTATCAAAGTCGTATACACACACCTTCACTCATGTATTGAAGTCAAAGTGAATTAATTTTATTTATTTTTTAATCCAGAAATGAATAAATTAATTCGGATCGTTGAAATTTTAATAAATATTTGAGCTCTGAAGTTTGATTTTTATGTATCAGAAATCGGACAAAATTTTAGTAAGGCCTGAAAATAATAAAGTGTATGTACAATTTCTTATAATACTTAATATAACCAAAAAAATATAAAAATTGCGTATAACTTCCATAAAAAGAAATTGTTAATTCCTTTCTTTCCTTTCCTATTCACATGCGTTCCGCTCTCCAAATTTGTGAGCGAAAATTTAAAAGATAATAACGCATTGCTTAAAAATTATTGAAAAATAAAAAGGTTATATAATTTTTGGTTTCCTAAGTTTGTTCTCATTCTCGTTTTAGTCTCCAGGTTTCAAATTATACATTTTAGTCCCTCAAAAAGCAAAATAATCTAATTTTTTTTGAAATAATATGGATTAATGTTTTAAATAGAAAAAAATTTCAGAAATTAAAACTTATGATTTAAAATTTAAGAGATCAAAACTAAAATGAAAACAAATTTTAAAGATAAAAAATTATATTAATCTAAAATAAAAGGTAAACAAGCATTTAAATATGTAATAAAATTGACAACCACATATTTTTTAATGGTCAAGCCTTCCCATCTTTGGGAGGTAAAATTAGAACATTAGTGCATTCATTTTCATGTCATTTTTCAAATCTCATCTTCATTTTCAATTTCCACAACCAAATGGTTTGAAGTTTGAACATTTAAGAAAGCAAAAGTTTGGGGGATGTTTTTAATTTCAAAGGACTGAAAGGAGAATGTCTGAAGATTATTCAAACGTAAATCAAGTATTTATTTATCGTAATGAAATAGAATTATTTTTTTTAATTTTTACCTATGATATTAGCGATGCACATTTTGTATCTTGAGTTACGTTGTCATATAAAAGTCCAGTAGAATTAGATGTGGCCTTCTAAAATACTATGGGAAAATCTAAAAAAAATTCTTTAAAATTTGAAAATTTTAAAATACGTTGTCATTTACTTTTTCAATATTATCAATCATTATTAAAGTATAGTAAATAAGTTAGTTAAAAAAAGTGTGGTAAATAAGACTGAGTTAGAATTTTGAAATTCAACAGTATTTTTTTTAAAAATTCTCTCAAATACTATTTTTTTTCCAACTTCGTTTCTTGCCCGCTCCTGTCTTCACATGCCTTATATGCATGTGCAACGAACTTACAATGATGGATTCATTACACAATTAAATTCTTTATATTCATACATATATTTATATATTGAGCCCTTTTATCTTTTTTATTACATAGATCGTATTTTTAAAACCTATACAAACATCTCTCAGAATCAATACTCATAGAATACAAACATTCCTTCTTCTAACCTTCTATTTTCATTCTGTAGGCATCAGCAGCTAAATTCTCCAAAAATTTAACAGATCTTCCAACTCCTTTATGATGCTATGTATGTCTTCTTAATGGCAATGCCAACAAATAACTGGTTAATTCAAACTATATCTTATGGATACTATCCTTAAGAACTATTCTGTACTTATCGGCAAAGCAAGAAGCGGTACTCCTCAATATTAAACGGATTTTTTCTATAAGAATAGGATGAACATAATAATTAAATGATAAAATAACTCAGCAAGGCAGAACACGAAGAATAGAAGAGAGTTGCCTAAAGCCCAAAACAACAAGTCCTATGAACTTTAGTCTCATGCCTCTTTTGTAGGCAGCACGTCAGTAATGACCACACTTAAACAAGTTTAATGTACATTACGACAATCATAAACACAATTAAATGGTCTGTTTTAAGGAGTCATTAACTTGTTTAATAATTATTCGATTACAAACATTAAAGAGGCATAATTGTATAAAATGACATATTAATTAGATAGATATTTTTCAATAAAGGTGCCCAATTTTACATTTGATTCATGCACAAGGAAGTGCGAGTGGATTGAAACCTAGCATCCTGCCGCTTCCTTTGCATTTTACAATTTTAGTTAATTTTTACCAATTTAGTTAATAGTTAATTACTATCATACGCTTGAGTTCCCCCCCCCCTCATGTAGACTAATCATCCTTCCACTTGGATTGAAACCTAGCATCCTAACCGCTCCCTTTGCTTTCCATTACTCCCTCCATTCATTTTTATAAGAGATAATTACTCAAATTATATTATTCAAAATGTTAGTTAAAATTAGTTGAAGATAATAAATATGTAAAAAGTGTAACCTTCTTATCAAAAATACCCTTATTTATGTGAAAGATGAGATAATGTGTGGGAGAGAGAATGTGTGGGTATTAAATGTAATGGTATACTCTTATAGTACTCTTTATAGGGCAGAGAGAGAAGTTTTTTTTGGTCCTATTTATAAGTCACTTGATTAAATTTTTACCATGAATATATCATACTGTCCTTCATTTAATTACGAGTCAAAATCATTGCAGTATCGCCTCTTGTTTGGCCACATTAATGTTGGTTGTTAAGCTTACATTAATTTTAGATTAAAGAGAATTTTTACATCAGCATAGAAACTAGTTTGGAGGTCAACTTTGATTATAAATATAAGATCTTAATATATTTTATCTCTTGTATTTATTATTGTTCTTCTAATTAATTTTTCTAACTTATAATTCGATGTTTTACAGGATGTTTGTTATGATAAACTAATTTATTTGACTTTTTAATTAAATCAAATTAGTTAAGTAGCTCTTATATTAAAAATTGGATCTATTAATTATCCTAATCAACACAGTCATAGATGGAATCATACTAAAATTTATATTTTCATGCTTTTCTTTTCATATTGTAATTTTTTTTCCCTGAACATAGAGGACCGACTTAAAATAAGGGAGGAAAAAAATGCCTCACAATGCTGTATAGTTCATGATGTAAAATCCTCTTCGGGTCCCTTCTTTAATAACAAAAACCTACACTGAAACACAAAAATTGTAAAATAATTGAAAAGCAATGGCAGCTCCTGACTCTTGAGAAAAAGTTGCATTGATGAAGATAATTGCTGGAAAATACTAAAAATTTAATTAAACCATGGAACACGCAACAACCAAACAATACGATGTTTCATTCATTACCGATAGTAATTTATAAGCAGGCTTCCCCTATTTATAGAAGTATCTCCTTTATGACTCGAACTCAAAGAGATCTAGAAAGACCTTACATTACTAGACCAACTCTTTATTGGTATAATTTCCTTCATTTTATATGCGTATATAATTGATCTAATTATTAAGGGGGAAAAAGCTAAAGAACCTCTGGATGATGTAATTTTGATATTACACGAATGAATTCTCTCTTGATAACAAATCAGTGGATGGAACCCACATGGAGGAGCTTCTTAATTACTTTGTCATTTCCTAATTATAAGATTTTTTTTTGTAGTTCAACTTACACTACAAAGTGAATTTTATCATTAGAATCGGAGGTAGTATAAGTATCTTCTTTTTACAAACCCACATCCTTAATTCTTGACTGTTACAATTTTAACTGCATGGGAATTACAGTCACTTGTTGTGAAGTAAGAATATAAATAATAATTAAAGAAGCAAGTCATTGCGCCCCAATAATTCATTGTGAGTGTAGTTTAGAAACGTAACCAAGGCATCTGATTTGAGCCAACTTTGTTATTTAATGTTTATTATGTTTAGCAGTGGAGAGATTATATTATTTGATTACGTAACCCAACCAAGCCATGACTCTGTTATTTCAAACACAATGGAACAGAGCATCGCGAGTGTCAAGACAGGTCCTCTTGGCTAGCTGCTTCACGGCGATTCAGTGTGTTGCAAGTTTCAATTTTTGATATCTTCACCATCGAAAATGAAAATTTATTATCAATTACAAAAGATACTTGAATCTTTCATTACTGAAAAAGAAAATAACCGAAGTCTTAAAGCACAACAATACATGACTTGGAAAACCACTCAACAAAAGGCTTTGTGAGACATGACAACACACACACATACTCTGATAACTGTTTTACTACAAGGTAGAGATATGACAATCTGTAGGAAACACATTAGAGACCTTGGACCATGTATGGCTGCAGCAAACCTCTCTATTCCCTGAAACAAAATATGAGATTTGAATGGATTTAAGAGGAAGGCGAAAAGGAAAATAAAACCTCATTTAAAGTAGTATATGATCTCAGATCGGTTAATTACCTCAACAGCAATCTGTGTAATTTTAATATTCATTGGAAGCTTTTTTCAACTTGAGGGCCACGATGACATAAAGTCGATCTGCTAGAAGATGAAACAGTTGAAAAAATTTGCGTCTCCATGCTCTGATGAGGAAGAGAGAACCACAAACTCCCAAGGAGCCTGTTGCAAATCCTACTCCCATCCCCAGATACAATGACTTCAGAAAATCATCATCTTCATTTCCTTCAGCTGGCTTTGAGTCATTACAAGCTTCTTTCTTGTAGCACTTCTTTGGAAGAGGATCTCCACAAAGATCATTACCAACAAAACTCCATGGGTCAAAACTCTGAATTTGGGTTCCCAACGGGATTTGTCCAGTGAAATCGTTGTATGAGAGGTTCAAATAATCAAGAAAAGACAAATTAGAGATTGTTGAAGGAATTTCTCCAGAAAGCTTATTGTAGCTGAGATGAAAAGATTCCAAGTCTTTCATGCCACCAATTTCCTCAGGAATCTTCCCAGTGAAATGGTTTCGAGACAAATTTAAGAACCGTAGCTGAACTAACTTAAACAACTCCTTAGGGATTTCTCCGGACAAATTGTTAGTGGAAAGATCAATGCTATGCACCTCTCTAAAGTTCTTGTAATCCAATTCTCTTCCTTTAGCAAAGACTTCTATTTCATGTATCGGATAATATTCCATAATCGGCTGCATGATGTTATATAGGCAATGTGGCATAGCTCCTGAAAGATTATTGTCAGCAAGATCCAATATTGTCAAACCAGTAAGGTTACATAACTGTGGTCAAATATTGCCTATAAATTGGTTTCCCCTCAATTTGATAATGTATAATCTTTGTTGCATGGTATTTGGCAAAGTTCCAGAAAATTTATTTCCCTCCAAATTGAGGCTTTCCAAATTTGTCCAGTTTGACAAGTCCAATGAAAATTCGCCAAAGAAGCTATTATGACTCAAGTCCAGCTGCAAAAGATTCACTAACGAAGCCATTGAGGGTGGAACTTTACCTGTTAGCATATTACTTCCCAAATTAAGGAATCTTAATTGTTTCCAATTGGCCCAACAATCAGGAAGTGCTCCTCTCAAGTGATTATACGATAAGTCCAAGTCAACCAACTTGCTATCCCTGTTACTCTCTAAATGGCACAATAATGAGAAAACAGATCCTGTCAATGAGTTATGAGATGCGTAAAAGTAAGAGATATTTGATGATAATGTGATATGGGATACGTCTTGACTAATCAAGTTGTTTGAGATATCAACATAGTCCAATCCTACAATGAAGCTCCAAAATACGTCTGCATCAATTTTTGAAATTTCTAAAGCAGAAATGTCTAGATATCTTAGAGACCACTGTGTATATAGCCATGTTAGAACATTAGGACCTATTCTTGTGTTACTCATATCCAAATGCTCAACTTGAAATGGTGGGACCCATTTAGGACCAATGTCAAATTTCAAATTTGTTGAACCAAAGCTCAATGATGTTAGACTTGAGAAATTCAAAAAATTATTTTCTGTAAGAACACCCTCCAAGAAATTGTGTCCAATGCCCAAATGATCTAAGTTATAGAGGTGTCCAAGGGTTTCTGGAAGGTTGCCACTCAATCGATTGCAGGACAAGTCTAAGTAGAACAATGAAGAAATATTTCCAAGAGATGATGGAATTACACCATAGAACAAATTCTCATAAATATTCAAGTATTGCAACCGTTTATATTGACCTATCCAATTTGAAATTGGCCCTTTGAGATTATTTGAGCCCAAATCTAAATGCTTGAGTTTCTGGAGATTGAGCAAGGCTTTTGGTAGTTGGCCATAAAAACTACAACCGCTAAGGTGAAGATGATAGATGTGATGGGTGATATTGAAAAATGAATCAGGTAACTTTGACTTCATCCTATAATTATTAGAAAGATCAAGAACTTCAAGTGATATAAGATTTATATAATCAAGGGATGGAAAATCTCTGAGTCCATAAAAACGTAAGTGTAACTCAGAGAGTGAAGGAAGCATGGCTATGTGCTAGAGCCATTTGGTATCACTTCTAATATAACTTAAGCTAAGGTCAAGATATTTTAGGGAAGAAAGTTGAGAAAGCCAATGAAGGTTATTTATGGCTAAACCAAAATTAGATGAAAAGTTAAGATAACGTAGAACAACAGAGAAACTAGCTGAGTGATTGGAAGGAGTAGCAAGTGATTTGTTGTGAAACTTGTGAGCATCAAAGGGAGATTTGGAGATTTGGCATGGTGGCATACTCACAGTTTTGAAGTCATTGTGGCTCAAGTCCAAGTGGTTGAGGAATTCAAGTTGAAGCACACACAGATTAATGTCACCTCGTAATGTATGATTGAAAAGAGAAAGCTCTGTGACTCTTCCGGTCATGTTGTTGCAATGAACTCCCTCCCATAAACAGCAATCTTCTTCGGTAGTCCAAGAAGAGAGTTGGTTGTTTGGATCAACCACTCCTTGTTTGAAGATTAAAAGCAGCCTTTCATCACTTTCATTGCAACTGATCACACTGTTGAATATTGTTGTAAATAGCAGAAACAACAAAACAGAGGAAATTTGTGAAGCGAAGCTAGCCATTGTGGTAAGTTCGAGAATAGTGGCCTCAACGTGAAGTCTTTGCATCATGTACATATACATATTGGAAAAAGCAGAAACTACGTGGTATATCCGCTGCACGTCCCCTCATTCTCCTTTAAATTTTATGGAAAAAAATATTATTTATGAAGCATGAGGCTTATACTACGAATTTTGCAATATGTCTAATATAATGGGTAAGGGAGAAGTGAAGCATTGTGTGGCGTGTTGCAAATGGGAAAGGGAGACTGATCGGCTTAGCCGCCGTTTGTCTTTGGTCCTCCCTTTTCCACAGCTTCCCTCCTCCGTCCCACGTGTTTCGCTCTGTTTTTTTCCTGACAACACGTGATTTAATGGCAATAAATAAAAATGGAGACAACCCACTCCACAAGCATACTAATTAGAATTTTGTATAAATGTATATATTCCGGTGTAAACATACATATAATTTCTTTAAATTATATTAATTTTAATAATATATCTTAAAATATTTTTTCAGTAATGCCCTGTATACTGGAATAAATTTTTTTGGTACAATCAATATTATACAATATTTTTTTAATAGTGGTTAGTGTTCCAAAAATACAGTTAGCACACTGTGTTACTGAAACCTAAAATTATTTTAAGATACTAAATGTTTCTAGAAAAATCTTTCAGGGTGCTGACTAGAGCCAAAAATTATCTTAAGATACTGGGTGCTCTTGAAAGAAATATTTGAGAATGTTGAATATATTTTTAGGATATTAGGTGTTACTGAAAAAATAACTTATGGTGCTGCCAAAAATTATTTTAAAAAAGTGAGTGCTCTTGAAAAATATTTTAGTGTGCCAATTGTATTTTAGGATGGGATACTGAGTGTTATTAGAAACATAATACTTTTTTTTTTTTCCGTGAAGAGATTAGGTAGGGAATGTAAAATTTTTATTCCATTCAATAGTGATATTAATGCCCCTCGCGGTGCAGAAACAGGCAAATGAGTCTGCCTCAATAACCAAGGCATGACTCTGTTATTCCAAACGGCATAAACCAAAATGGAACAAAGCAATCACGTGGAACACCATTCATCAGAAGTTTCTTGCTACCTACTACGCTTGATACTTAACATAAGAACTGGATTAATTTTTAATTTAGTCTTAAATATAAAACTCAAATCCACTTCATCTTTCATGTTTATCCCCTTTTTTTAAAAAAAAAAAATAGTTCTTGTTGTAGTTGTACATGTTAAATGTTCTATTAAATAGTAGTCTTAACTAATACATATAATTAATAATAGTATTTTAGGGAAGATAATAATAGTATTTTAGGAAAGATAACACCTCTTTATAACAAATAAGTAATTTAACTAATTTTCTTGATTTACTCAAATTAATCAATTAACTTTTATATTAAGAATTAGAGATAGTATTATGTCATGTACAAGTAGAGTACTGACCAAGTGCACAAGACTCTCAATCTCTCATAAGGTGGAGCCTGAGAAGGGACATAGCTAATAAGAAGGAACGAGGCTTGTTAGTTTAGCACTGGGGAATATAATACTCCTTCGGTCTTTAATGTAAGATTTATTTAATTAATTTAATTAGATTAAGAAAGTTAGGTAAATTAGTTAATTATAAGAAATATGACATGTTCTTCTTAAATCACCATAATCATCTTTCTTAATATTCTTTCTTCCTCTTCTATTTAATTATGATTGAGAGAGTATCGATAGGGTTAATTTAAAAAAATTGATAAATATAAAAAGTATGTCTTATTAATTTACTAATTAGATACATGTAAATTATCTATGCATTAGCAATCAGGGATTTGCACCTTCAACTGACAAGACCAACCACAGGAACAGCAATATAGCCATAAGTAAGTCAATGCACCGCTGATGCCAAAGTGTGGCCATTATCTCCAGCACATAGTCTCAATTATTTAAATGGAGACACTTGATAAATGAAATGGAAAGATGCAACTGAAGAACTATAAAGCTATATATGTACAAACAAACGGTTATTGAAGATTGAGGAAAGGTGAAGAAGTACTGATCATGAAATGACAAAAGATGGATGCCCATTTGTAAATAACTAATTGATAATATATGTGTATTTGGGTGTCTGTGTGTGTCGGTGTCTGTGTGTTCATGTATAATGAAATGGTAACATGTGATTATGCTGCAAAAGCAAGCAAATCTAACGCTAACTTTGGTAACTATGACAAAGATGAACTTGCAAATAAGGGACATACTGAAAATTTGAACAAGATACCACATACGAAACAACATATTTCAAGAACGAAATACAAAAAATTTCTAAACATCAGGAAGCTGAAACAAAGGAAAGAGGGCAAAAGAGCATGTTGCACTTGGTTCACATTGACATACATAAATATTCTTTGATGTGTTTGCCTTCGGCAAATAATTGTAGATATGCGTCATTTACAGGGAGCAATAACTTGGGTTGTGTTAATTAAGAACCATTATCGAACTTCACATATGATTGGGAACAAGGTTTCCTTCCTAGTCTACTCGTGGTTTATACTTTTGATATTATTAGTATTCAGTTCCATTAACTGTCTCTCTCAATGGTTTTCTCTCTGTTTTTTTCCCTGTTTCCTTCATTCCTATAAAACACTCCATACAGAGTTGTCGCATTTCCCTTTTATTAACAAAATTTTCTTCTTCAAAACAGAAGTCAAAAGATAATAATAAACAGGGAAAATTACAATGCACCTAAGAAAGCTACGTATCATAAGAAGTAAACCTGTCGAACAACAAATGGCTCCCTGGCAAGACTAAACGGTTCGGTCAAAATAGTAAGAAACCCATTTCGATTGCCATAAACAATGTCAGTGAAGGGCCGATCATCCACCTGCCACAATATACTCATGCTGGGTCAAGAATTCTCAAAATATGAAACAAAACTAAGTGACAATGAACTATTCTAAATTTTTCTTTTCCATGATTAGTTGTGAGGACTCAACCAAAATGCTTTTCAATTTCATCGGCTGATCCAGCTGGTTTCTTCACCCAAAAGGCGTGCAAATATATAAAGACATCAACACCAACAATACATTATTACTGACAATCCAAACGAATATTTCACGTCTAACGTTTAAAGACAGGAGACATGTCCCAAAAGAAACACTTACTGTGCCTTATGACTCTAATCCCGATTGCCTCCTCAAGCGCCTTAGCTTTGGAACCATCATGATCATACTCATGAAGTCCTAATTCATCAAGAAGTCCTGTAAGCAACATGCCCGTACCGAAGAATTCAGAACAAATTGCTTCATGCCTAAAAGCACCAATATTGACACTGATACAGACAGGAAATGGAAGACGCACTTCAAACAACAAAATATAAGTGTTTTAGATACGTATTGGCTTAGAGGTACCAGCACTCCAAGATCCACAGGATGAAATATACGGTGTTTATGAATAATCTAAGTACCATATCTATTTGACAACAAGATTCTTTCTTTGAAGTATAGCTACAGCTACTTCATAGCTTATAGAATACCATACAGCTCCAATTCTGAACTAGCTTCATACTACACTTACCAGCAGAGTTACTGAAGACAGCAATACCAGGATCAAACGCCGATTTACAACGTTCCATCGAAGAAGCAAGAGGAGGCCAAAGGATCAAACAGTAAGGAGCAGTAATGGTATTATCCTTATCAAACACGACCTCTTCGAAACCCCTTCTTCGCAGCTCACCCTAATCGATGTACCTCAAGTCCGGAACAGAAACATGAGGCAGTGCTAATTTGGGGTCTTTCACAAACAAAAACGTCGAACAAATGGCCTCCAAGTTTATTCTCTGCCCTAACGCCGCTTTCACATCTGCCCATCACATGCTTGTGAAATGTCCCCGCCTTTCCTCGTCGTTCCCGAAACTCTTTTGCTCGTCTTCTTGTGGAAGCTTTTGGTATCTGGGTTCTGGGTGTTGATTATTGGTGTCTTTGTAATCAGTAGAGAGAAGAAACTGAAGAATCAGAGAGTGGCTCTGGCTCTGATTTGAATTGGAATTGACGAAACTCCAGGGATTTCTGAGAGTCAGAGTGGAGAAATCTCTAATTGGGATTTTGCTGTGAGTAGTAGAAAGCGATAGAGTGGTAAGATTTCTCTGGTGATCGGCATTGCTATGAAAATTCAGAGGCTTTGTACGGAAGGAACAACAACTCGGAAGGGAAGCAGCCGCAGCAGCTGCAGGCATTTTTATTTTTATCTTAGACTGGGCTCCTTTATTCCTGCAAAAAATGGACTTCCAAATTTCAAGTTAATTTTAGTTAAATTTAGAGCTTGTGACATCCTTGAAATCTAACATAGTAACGTAGTAATACTCTATCCCTTATTATAAGATCTTTTTAACTAAATTATGCGGTTTAAGAAAACAGTTAAAATTAGTTAAAAGTAATTACTATGTAGCAAAATACAATTTTTTTCCAAATATACCCTTATATATAAATGGGTAGATGTGAGAGAGTAACGGTGAAATAATTGAAGAAAGAGAATGTATTAAATGCATTAAACTAGGGGTAAAATAGGTAATAATGCATTAAATGTTCAGATAAATTCAAAAGAAATCTTATAAAAAAGAATAAACCTATTCAAAAAATTGGATCTTATAATAAAGGACGGAGGGAATAAAAACTACTGTAGTCTATTTCTTGAGAAATGAGAATCTATTATATTCCGTTCCTAAATACAAAACTATTTTATAATATAATTTATACTGTAAAATAGTTTTTATATTTAAAACCGGAGGAGTATATTTTATTAAAAAAATTTATCAAAAAGAATCCATTATGCACGGTAAAATTTCGGTTTTTTTAAAAATAAAATGAGCTCAAATTTTAGTCTAGTCCTAGGCAATTTCAAAAGAGTTTTTATAGATGCTTTTAACCATGAGGCTAGTAGTTCTATTGAGTTAATTCACATAAATTTTTATTTTAAAAAAAATCTAAATTATCCGATTAATATTTACATAAATTTTTATAATTATCTTGATTTGGGGTTGGATCCATGTTAATATGAAGAGACATGTGTCTAATTAATAGGAAGAAAAATCTTAATATTGAAACTAACTTTTCTTATCCACACAAAAATTAAATACTAATAAACAAGAATCAACATCACATCTTAACTCAAAATTATAAAACTCAATTTTATAGGTCATTTCATTCCATTATATATTTTTATCAAGCTCAATTTCTTTTTATGTGAGAATACTAATGTTTTTTATTTTCTTCAAATGGGAAGATACATGTCCCTTTAATTCACTTGACAAAAGACTTATTTGAAAGGTATTAGTTTGGAACATCAATAATGGAAATCACATCCAAGCCTCTCTTGTCAATACATCTAGCCTCCCATTGAACTCGCAAGTAATCTTTATATTTGATCTCTTGAACAATGGCTTTCCTTCTCTAATAGCTCCATTGCAGGCCTTATTTCTTTCTCAAGTGCTGGTCCATTCTCTAGTGCAAAACTAGGCCCCGTGTCTCTTTCATTCATCACTACTCTGTGCCACACACTCTTATACTGCTTGTTACTCACAATATGATTAATTTCAAAACAAATATCAAACAAGTTTATCAGAACCATCACAAACAGAATAAGTTGGCTGGTTAAGGTAAGTATATACAATTAAAAAAGTTGATGAGTGACCTCAAGCTGATCTCCAACGTCGGCAAGTAAGCAATGAGGCAAAGGAGGATTCCCATTAACCTATTTATGATGGGGCTTCACTTGAAGGCCTTTGATTCCATTTTCACTGAGGAGGGTTGGTAAGTCATTGTCAAAGTGAGGAAGTAACCCTAAAGTAAGGTCTAGTTGAGGACATGGAGGGTACAAGTTCACTTGACATGTCTCATTTCCTGAATCAAAACCTGTGGACTCTACAATGGCCTTGGCTTGTAATCCTAAACTCTTTGATATTCCTACTAGCAAAGTCCTTGCCACATTTCTTATGCCTTTATTGTATTCAAATGCAACCTCCCTCTGCAAAATGACAATGAAAAATGTGGTATTTTATTTGTCAAAACCTAACTCACTCTAACTATTTGTTAAAGCCCCAAAGGTTTTATCAGGTTTCTATATTTTTCTTTTATTTAGAGTAGTAGATATTAATGACCTGAGATTACATTGAGCATGATCAAACTCATGATCTCCCACTTACAAAAAGGTTTTAATGTCATTAGCCTACGGAACCATTGACAAGCTTCTACGTTATTGAAGGAGAGCATACCTGTGATGAGTACATAGATTTGACACCACTTCGTAATTAATTCAAAATCTTGCAACGTCACATTTTTAGTCTATTTCTGCTAATATGAGAGACTTCAATTTCCCCATGCATATATATTAACTCATTGTTGGATACTAATTAAAAAAAAAAAAAGACGGGATAATGGAAGAGAGATAAAAAAGAGAAGTTGAAATTGAGCGTACTTGAGATGAGGGGGCTTGTGGGGGGAATGGAATTCAGGAAAAGTAGTAGGTTTTAGATCTAGTAATGAACCTTCTCTCCATAAGGAAGGGAACTGGTACCAAATCTAACGGGTGTGATGAGTTCTTTATTGAAAAATTCCATCTTTTCCTCAAGAGGCAAATCGTGAAACTCCAGAGACTTGTTTATCACCTCCTCCATCACTTTCTCTGAAATCCCATGATTTGTAATCTGAAAGTGACACGTCCAAAAACAAAGTCAACCAAAAAAGCAATTCTAGATACTATAGAGGCTTCAACTAAATATTCTCAAACACTTTAATTGCCATGAAGAAGCCCCATTCTCTGCATGCATCACCCAGCTGTCGAACTGCGTCGGCATGGATTTGAGGATCCGGGGAGGTGAGGAGGGAGAAATCGAGGACGGGGATGGAAGCAGCAAGGTCATCATCTGCAACATCATCACGACGAGGTTCAGCGAGAGAGTAGTACGTGGTCGGGATGGGAATGTCGCCGTTTGATTCAATGATGGCTTGGATAGTTGTAACAGTATTATCAGAAGCATGAAGCTTTTAGGGTTCTGATGAGGAGGAAATAATACCAGGTGAAGCCATGGAAACATGAGAGTTGAAGATACCGTGAATAGAAATAAAGAAAGAGTATTGCAGGAACAATATAATAGTGTGAGGTAGGGGACGAGATACTTGGTAATAATTGATGATGATTGACAAGTGTGGTTAATGATACATTCAAGATTAGGATCCATTTATATTCTATACAATCATTGATTGAGATCATAAGTTTTTAAGCTCCCTAGCTAGTGATGCTGCTGTGAACATATGGTTGATCATATAGCTCTCTAATAGTGAGATATTTGGCTTTCTGCTTAATTTGGTGGACAGCACTTTCAATAATTGAGAACAGAGACAATACTTTTGAGTCGATTGATTCATTTTACTTTTATTAGATGATATATCTTTGCATGGTAACACACACACACACATGTATCTCACAGATATCGATATTTCTAGTTTGGGAAATTCACTATGCAGTCATATGTATGAATAGGATAATATGAAATCTTATATTAAGGACAGGGGATAGTATAATTTTTCCGGTGTAAACATACATAAAGAGACAAAGTGATGAGAAAAATTGAAGAGGCAAGACAATGTCTCTCGCTTGGTAAACTAGGATTGAATGAGAATGGTAATCTTGTTTCCAATTACGGTTTGTGTTTTAATTTGCAATCTTCATTCCATTTCCTAATGTTGCAAAAAAATTGCCGGTAAATTATTACTACCTCTGTTTTTTATTTTTTATTAATATAAGAGCTAGATTAATATTCAATTTGGTTCTAAATATAAGACCGTAATCTATTTTATCTCCAACTTATCTATTTTATCCTTAAATAATTCTCAGTAATTGTAGATATTAAGGAGTTTCTATCAAGGAATATTTTCAATACACATGATTAATAGGGATGTTTTAGGAAGAACAATATTTATTTACTACAAATAATTAACTTAACTAATTTTTTTAATATTCGCAAAGTAGTTATCTAATTCTTATATTAAAAACCAAAAGTAGTATTTGTCAAGGTTTGATTGTCACATTAACATCTGTCAGTTATATTTGCGTAATCATCTTTTCAAATAAAATTCCAAATGATAGTGTTTAGATTTGTGTATGTTCCTATATATAATAATCACAAAATTGAAATTGAAAATTATCAGAGCGAGTGCTATCATATATATGTGACATGAAAACCTTTTCAACACAGGCTTCTCACTTGTTAGCAATTGGAGAAGATACCATGCACTAACAACTAGTATTACAAAATCCTATATCCTCACTATCCTCAGAATCTAAGATAACAAAAGGACATTCATCAATAGGAAACATCAGAGTCCCAAGCCATGTGTCTGCTTATTCCTTGGAGCAGACATGAGATTTCAGCTCCAGAGAAAGTCACAGGAGAGCAGTACTACATTGATAAAACCAGACATGGAGAGGCTGGTTAGGTTAAACAATCATTGCATTAATATGCGTTCCTAAAATTACCAAAACAATCCTTCCTCTATTGCTAACTATTGATGTCAAGTTATTTTCAATGGTGACGATTCAGCCATGGTTCTCCTTGATCCATCATATGTGGCACCATTATTATGATGTTTTTGACACTGTTGTGTTATTCTGTTAATATAAGTCGACATTGGGACCTTTCTAAAATGTTGTAGATTCCTTAAGGGAAGATAATGTTGCAATAATTCGCATTCAATCACCACTTAAAGGATATTCTATTGAAAAAGGAACTGGCATAAGTATACACTCGTATTCTGATAAACCATTGTTACAAGCTCTTATTTTGTCACTATATCACTAAATGTAAGATAAACAAAGAACATTAATTAGAAGGAAACATTAGAGCACTTAGCCAAATGTTGTAACTGCAGCAAAGTAACCTAGCTATTCCCTGAAGCAAAATATGAGACTTGAATTTGAGACAAAGGCATTGGAAAAGTATTAGATATATAGATCAAATCTGTCTTCAAGGATGTTGCACCCACTGCTTGATCTGCTGCACTTGCATCCCATAGCCAAAACATATCGAACAACAAACAACATAAAAGAAAGAAAAAGAGCCAGATCAGAACTAAATTTGTTTTAACTAAAAGAAGAAAAAGAAAGATAAATGAATAAATGATCATGCAAATCAAAGAGACGATAACTTCTGCAATATGTGATAGCTATAATCCATTACGTACCTCAACAACAATTTTAACTCGTTCCAAATATTCCATGGAAACTCTTAAGCGTGAGGGCCACATGGACATAAAGCCGGTCGACCAAACTGTCAAATGATTGGAAAAATCTCTGTCCCCATGGTCTGATGAGGAAGAGAGAACCACAAACTACCCAGAAGCCTACTGCAAATCCCACTCCCATCCCAAGATACAATGACTTCAAAAAGCTGTCATCTTCGTTCCCTTCAACCAACTTTGGGTTGTGAGCTTCTTTCTTGTTGCACTTTATTGGAAGAGGAACCCCACAAAGTTGAGGATTGCCAACAAAACTCCAAGATTCAGAAGTCTGAATTTGAGTCCCTAAAGGGATTTGTCCAATGAAATTGTTGTATGAGAGGTTCAAAACTTCAAGAAATGATATATCAGAGATGGTTGGAGGAATTTCCCCGTAAAGCCTATTGTAGCTGAGATCAAGAGATTCCAAGTTTTTCAGATCTCCAATTTCTCTAGAAATCATTCCAGTCAAATGGTTTCGAGACAAGTTCAAGGACCACAATAGAGTCAAGTTAAACAACCCCTTCGGAATTTCTCCTGATAAATTGTTGGAAGAAAAGTCAACAATGTACCTTGACAATAAATCAGGGTAATTTAATTCCCTTCCCTTAGAAAATAAATTTGTTTCCTTATACAAATAAAAAAAGGTCCATAAAGTTCTAGGATCAAACTGCATGATGTTATACAAGCATGGTGGTATGGATCCTGAGAGCTTGTTATCAGCAAGATCAATTACCATTAGAAAAGACATGTGGCACAGCTGTGTTGGAATATTGCCAATAAATTGGTTGGCCCTCACTTTGAAAACCACCAAATTTTGCTGCATTGTATTTGGCAAACCTCCTGAAAATTTATTTCGCTCAAGCGCGAGGTATTCCAAATTTGTCCAGTGTGATAAGTTTAACGAAAAGTTTCCAGAGAAACCATTATCACACAGAGACAACAAATGAAGATTTGTTAATAGAGCCATTGAGGGAGGAAGTTCACCATATATTACCCCTCAAATTAAGGTAAACTAATTGTTTCCAACCGGCCCAGCAATCAGGGAGTGATCCACTTAAATTATTATGTGATATATCCAAAATAGACAGCATGTTTTGAGCCCGATTACTCTCTCTGGGGCATAGGAACGCAGAAATGGATCCTGAGAACGAGTTATGAGAAGCTTGAATGTACATAACATTTGCTGATATGTGAGGGAGGCCTCCGGTAAAATTGTTATAGTCCAAACGTATATCTCTTGAGTGAAGTGTCACATTGGATATGTCTCCACTGATGAAGTTGTTTGATAGGTCAACTTCATCAATTCTTGCTATGAAGCCCCACAATATATCTGCATCAATGTTTGAAATCTCTGATCTAGAGATTTGGAGCCTTTCTAGAGACCTTTGTGTATATAGCCAAGTTGGAAAATTAGGACCTAAGCTTGTATTTGCTGAAGAGAAATATTTGAGTTGAAATGGTGGCACCCAGTTAGGATCAAAGTCAAATTTAAAACTAGTTGAACTCAAAGCTAGTGATGCTAAGCTTGATAGGTTGGCAAAGTTCTTTTCTGAAAGGACACCTGACCAAGAATTGCCATCAATACTTAAAGATTTTAAGTTATGAAGCTTTCCAAGGCTTTTGGGAAGATTTCCTCTGAAATGATTGTTAGACAAATCTAAGGAAATCAAGGAAGAAAGGTTTCCAAGACATGATGGAATAGAACCATTCAACTGATTAAGATAGATTTCAAAATGCTGCAACTGTTCATGTTGGCAAATCCAATCAGGAATTGATCCTTCAAGATTATTTAAACTCAAATTTAAATGCTTGAGGTTTTGAAGATGGTGCAAGGCTTTTGGTAATTGACCATAGAAATTACATCCCAAAAGGTCGAGGTGATAGATGTTACTGGTAATATTAAAGAATGAATTGGGTATTGAGTTGATACAGTTGAAAGAAAGATCAAGAATTTCAAGTGATGTAAAATTGATATAATCAAGGGAAGGAAAATCTGTGAGTCCACAACCCCTCAAGTGTAACACAGAGAGTGAAGGAAGCATGGATATATGGTGGAGCCATTTGTTTTCATTTCCAATATCACTGTTAGTGAGGTCAAGATATTTCAAGGAAGAAAGTTGAGAAAGCCAATGAAGGTCATTGATGACTAAACCATTAACTGAAAAGTCAAGATAACGTAGAGCAACAGAAAAGCATGCTGACTGATTCGAAGGGGTAGGAAGTGATTGGTTGTGAAATTTGTGAGCATCAAAAGGAGATTTGGAGATTTGGCATGGTGGCATACTCACAGTTTTGAAGTCATTGTGGCTCAGGTCCAAGTGGCTGAGGAATTCAAGTTGAAGCACACACAGATTAATGTCACCTCGCAATGTACGATTGAAAAGAGAAAGCTTTGTGACTCTTCCGGTCATGTTGTTGCAGTGAACTCCCTCCCATAAACAGCAATCTTCTTCGGTAGTCCAAGAAGAGAGTTGGTTATATGGATCAACCACTCCTTGTTTGAAGATTAAAAGCAGCTTTTCATCATTTTCATTGCAACTGATCACCCTGTTGAATGTTGTTGTAAATAGCACAAACAACAAAACAGAGGAAATTTGTGAAGCGAAGCTAGCCATTGGGGTAAGTTTGAGAATAGTGGCCTCAACGTGAGAAGTCTTTGCATCATATGTATATATATTGGAAAATCAGAAACTACGTGGTAAATCTGCTGCAAGTCTTCTCATTCTCCTTTGAATTTTATGGGGAAAAAAAATATAATATTTATGAAGCATGAATCTTATACCATGAATTTTGCAATATGTCTGTATGATGGGTAAGGGAGAAGTGAAGCGTTGGCTGGCGTATTTATTGCAAGTGGGAAAGGGAGACTGATCGGCTTAGCCGCCGTTTGTCTTTGGTCCTCCCTTTCCCGCAGCTTCCCTCCTCCGTCCCACGTGTTTCGCTCTGTTCTTTTCCTGACAACACGTGATTTAATGGCAATAAAAAAAACTGGAGACAACCCACTCCACAAGCATACTAATTAGAATTTTGTATAAATATATATAAATATTTTCCGGTGTAAACATACATATAATTTCTTTAAATTATATTAATTTTAATAATATATCTTAAAATATTTTTTCAGTAATGCCCTGTATACTGAAATAAATTTTTTTGGTACAATCAATATTATACAATATTTTTTTAATAGTGGTTAGTGTTCCAAAAATACACTTAGCACACTGTGTTACTGAAAACTAACGTTATTTTAAGATACTAAATATTTCTAGAAAAATCTTTCAGGGTGCTGACTAGAGCCAAAAATTATTTTAAGATACTGGGTGCTCTTGAAAGAAATATTTGAGAATGTTGACTATATTTTTAGGATATTAGGTGTTACTGAAAAAATAACTTATGGTGCCGCCAAAAATTATTTTAAAAAAGTGAGTGCTCTTGAAAAATATTTTGGTGTGCCAATTGTATTTTAGGATGGGATACTGGGTGTTATTAGAAACATAATACTTTTTCTTTTTTCATGAAGAGATTAGGTAGGGAATGTAAAATTTTTATACCATTCAATAGTGATATTAATGCCCCTCGCACTGCAGAAACAGGCAAATGACTCTGCCTCAATAACCAAGGCATGACTCTGTTATTCCAAACGGCATAAACCAAAATGGAACAAAGCAATCACGTGGAACACCATTCATCAGAAGTTTCTTGCTATCTACTACGCTTACGCTTGTTACTTAACATAAAAACTAGTTTAATTTTTAATTTAATTTTAAATATAAGATTCCAATTCACTTCATCTTTTATGTTTATCTATTTTTTTAAAAAAATAATTTTTATAGTAGTTGTACATTTTAAATGTTCTATCAAATGGAAATCATAACTAATAAATATAGTTAATAATAGTATTTTAGGGAAGATAACATCTCTTTATAACAAATAAGTAATTTAACTAATTTTCTTGATCTACTCAAATTAATCAATTAACTTTTATATTAAGAATTAGAGATAATATTATGTCATGTACAAGTAGAGTACTGACCAAGTGCACAAGACTCTCAATCTATCATAAGGTGGAGCCTGAGAAGAGACATAGCTAATAAGAAGGAACGATGCTTGTTGGTTTAGCACTGGGGAATATAATACTCCTTCGATCTTTAATATAAGATTTATTTAACTAATTTGATTAGATTAAAAAATTTAGGTAAGTTAGTCAATTATAAGAAATATGACATGTTTTTTTTAAAACACCATAATCATCTTTCTTAATATCCTTTCTTCCACTTTTACTTGATTATGATTGAGAGAGTATTTATAAGGTTAATTTAAAAAAACTGATAATTATAAAAATTATGTCTTATATTTAAAATCAAAATCAATTTAATAATTAGGTCCTATATTAAAGAGTGGAGAAGTACAAGCTTATATAATTTGCTTATAAGCAGGCGCTGCGTCTAGGTTACCAGGTAAAGTAAAGCCATTTTATGAGACCATCAAAGCGCGATGACTCCTTTAGACTTCAGGAAAGAGGCCACGTGTCTATAACAGAGGCCAGGCAATATTTGTTCTGAAATTACCAAACAGCCCATGAGCACATGCCTTCATGAAATTACCAAAAGAACCCTCCCTCTATTGCTGACGGTTGATGTCAAGTTCTTGTCGACGATGACGATTCAGCCATGGTTCTCCTTGATCCGTCGTACGTGGCACCAATATTATAACGTGTTTGGCACTGTGGGGTCATTATCGTGTTAGTACAAGTCCTAAGTCAAGATGGGGACTTTTCCAATCACTGCTTAAAGGATATTTCATTGAAAAAGAAACTAGTATAAGCGCACACAGATATTCTGATAAACCATTATTACAAACTCTTATTTTGTCACTATTTTACTAAATTTAAGATAAACAAAGAACATTAATTAGAAGGGAACGCTAGAGCTCTTAGCCAAGTGTAACTGTCAGCAAAGCATCCCAGCTATTCCCTGAAGCAGAATATGAGACTCGAATTTGAGACAGGCATCATTGGGAAAGCAGTAGATATAGAGATCAGATCTGTCTTCAAAGAGGCTACACCCATCGCTTGATCTGCTGCACTTGCGTCCCATAGACCAAGCGTGTTGAACAATAAACAACATAAAAAAAAAAAAACCAGTAAAGAACTAAATTTGTTTAACTAAGATAAGGAAGATGAAGATAAACTTTCATCCAAATAAAGGAGAGATATGACCTTTTTTTTTCTTTTTGGAAATATATGATAGTTAACTCATTACCTCAATAGTAACTAAATTTGTTCCAAATAGTCAACCGAAATGTTTAAGCATGAGGGCCACGTTGACATAAAGTTGATCAACAAAACTGTCAAATAATCGGAAAAATCCATGTCTCCATGCTCTAATGAGAAAGAGAGAACCACAAACTCCCCAAAAGTCTACTGCGACTCCAGCTCCTATCCCAAGATACGATGACTTGAGAAATGTGTCATCTTCATTTTCTTCGCCCAACTTTAAGTTTTGAACTTCTTTCTTGTTACACTTATTTAGAAGAGGGTCTCCACAAAGTTGAAGATTGCAAACAAACACTACAAAAAAACATTAAATTAGTGACAGAATTTACTTTCAAAATTTTTGTCACTAATCAAAATTAGCTATGGATTAACGACAGAATTTAGTTAGCGATATTGTCACTAAATAATTAGTGACGGAATTCAAAATTCCGTCGCTAATTAGTAACGAATTACTAACAGTGTAGTGATAAAAATTAGTAACAGAAATTTTTTGTTACTACTCCGTTGTTAATTAGAGACAGATATCCTATAAAAATTCTGTCACAAATTAGGGATGGAAAATTTCGTTACAAATTGGTGACGGAAATTTCCGTCACTAATCCGTCGTTAAATTTTTTTATTTTATAAATTCAAAATACCACATGACAACCACTAATCATCGTGACGTATCATGTCTGTGACTGTCACCTCATCACTAGCTACCACCTCACATTCTCCTCTCTTTCCCATGCTGCGATGTCATCCCCTCATCCACATCATCGCCATGTGTTCATCACTATGAGCCACAATGTTATCAATGGTTGTCACCTTACCAACTCCTCTCTCCTATGTTACCGCGTCATCTCTTTATCTACGTCATCACCACTTGTTCATCATTGTGATCCATCATGTCATCATTGGACGCCACCTCAACTTCTCTCTCCCATGCGACCATGTCATCCTAGCATCCGCATCATCGCCACGTGTCCATCATTATGAGCCGCCATATCGTCGTCTTGTCCATATCATTACCACGTCACAAATTGAGTCAATTTGTGAAGAAATGTTGGTTCAAACCTGAGACCTCATGCGTGCTTGCTGAAGCCTTTATCAGTTGAGCAGAGAAACACCTACAAAATTTGTATGCAAAAATAAATATATATAATATTTGTAATAAAAATAAAAATATATATAATAAATATTACATACATAATTTAATATATATTATACAATTTAATATATTATTATTTATTTGAATTTAATTTTTATATTTTAGTGAAAATTTCTAATAATTTATATTTTTATTCAAATATTTAAAAAAATAATATGTATATTGTATATTTTTATTTTTATTTTCTTTTATATTTATATTTTTTTTAATTTTTATATAATATATTATTTTAAAATTATGATATACTATATTTTTATTTTAATAATAATTTAAAAAAATAATTATTATATATATATTTTTGGTGACGGATTAGTGACAAAATTGCGACAGCAATTAGTGACAGAAAAACTCAGTATCTAATTTCCGTCACAAAATGAGAGTTAGTGATGAATTGGTGATGAAAATTACTGACAGAATTTTTCAGTCACTAATTTCCATCACTAATCATTTAAAACAAAATTAGTGACTGACTTGTGACAGAATTTAATGAAGGAAAAAAATTCTGTCACTAATCCGTCTCTAATTTAGTGACGGCACTAATTTAGCGACAACAATTTTTCGTCACTAATTTTAATGACAAATTTTGTTAGGGATTAGTGACAGATTAGCGACGGAATAAAATTGTTGCATGAGAAATTGTCCAATGTAATTGTTGCATGAGTCCCTAAAGGAATTTGTCCAATGAAATTGTTGCATGAGAGGTTCAAGTAAGCAAGAAAAGATATATTAGAGATGGTTGAAGGAATTTCTCCATAAAGTCTATTGTGGCTTAGATCAAGAGATTCCAAGTTTTTCATGCCTCCAATTTCTTTGGGAATCTTTCTACTCAAATGGTTTTGAGACAAGTTCAAGGACTGCATTTGACTCATACTAAATACTCCTCAATATAGGACCTAATTATTGAGTTGGTTTTAGTCCTAAATATAAGACTTATTTCTCATATTTATCAGTTTTCTCTAAATTAACCTTATAGATATTCTTTCAACCATAATCAAATAGAAGAAGAAGAGGGGGTATTAAGAAAGATGATTATGGTGTTTTAGGAAAAATGTGTCACATTTCTTATAATTAACTAACTTACCTAACTTTTTTAATCTAATCAAATTAGTTAAATGGGTCTTATATTAAAGACCGGAGGAGTAGCTCCTTAGGGTGTGTTTGGTATGAGGGATTTGGGAGGGAGGGGAGGG